CCCAAGAGGACGAAGGTTGGGCGGGCAATTATCCATAGCCACTGGCATAAAATTGCAAGGGCATTCAACATTACTGAAGGCTCAATATTTCCCTTCCTCTTCTGCAGTTTCCCAAATGAGATTCATTTGTCTATTTATTGTGTATGATGATACTTTCCAAAGGTTTTCGATGTTGCATGTGAAACTTGGTGCTGTTGAGTAATGGCATAGCTAGCTATATGCCTATATGGTGTAACTGAGTGCTGAAGCTATTTGATGTAATTCAATTATGAAATCCTGGTTGTTGTAATACGGATATGAAATATATGGTGAGTTTTATAAGAAATATCAATTTGATTACTAAATGGATTATCAATAATAGACCAATTAGCCTGCTTAGTGGGGTTTTCTATTTGGTACTTCCGGCCGCGTTAGCCACCCTACGGAGGGTATCGACAATTTTCCGAACCGACAAATTTACCATTGGCTTTAAAAAAAATATTTTGCATGTAGTACTCTGGAATGGAAGAGAAAAAGATCTATTAAAGTCATTCTGCCATAGATAATCTAACTGCTTTATAGCCAGTCAAATTATATTTGAATTACCAACCAGGAACTCATAGGCATCAGATATATTTTTTCTTGGTACAATAAGGGGATGGCCTAGATGTATAGAAAGTGGGTCCATATCAAGCCACGGAAAAATATTTGTTGCGGTAATTACTGTTTTTACTAATATGATAGTGGGTTTATTCTAGTTAGGAGTTTAACAAGAGGGACAACAAAACTAGTGTTACCTTGAAATTGCTGAAGTCATTTTGATTCATAGCAACGCCCGCAAACGATGAGATAATCCACAAGAGTCAAATAATTAATAGGAGGATAAGTGGACCCCAAGGAGATACCCCAAAGATTCTTCCTCTTTTCAAGGCATCCTAAAGAGAGAGCGACAAGTTCATAAATGAAAGGATGAAAGGATACGACGGAAGAGGATAACATTGTCCAATACCTCAAGTACTAGAAACTGACTAAAATGTTAGCCATTAATATTAACCACAAAAGTAGCTGGGGGCATGCATTCATAAATAGGATTGATAAAAAGACCATGCAACCCTTTACGTGCCAAAACCCTAACAATGAAGCCCTATTAAACAATATCAACGGCTTTCACAAAGTTTACCGCTCACATACAAACATGTAGATTCTAGGACGAGAGTTGTTCTTGAGCAATAATGATATGGTTAATTTTCTAAAAATATATCGTATTTGCGACTCTACGCCCTTGAATGAAATCTTGAGTTTGGTGAATATAATAATGAATCTGATCTTTAAGTCTGTTAGACAAGATTATAGCTAGTGATGACTTTATACATGACATTACACATGACAATTTGGTGTACTAAGACTTTTGATGTTGTATCTATGAGTAGTTTTGTGATTGTGTTAGCAGTTTTGTCACACGACATGTCGAGTATCTATAGTAGACTAACCTCGGTTGTCTACAGAAAATATTGCATATGAACTTTATTCATGTAATGGAAGAGGAAAGTGCACGTTTGTAACCTGTTGACAAATTGTAGCATCGTTACACACAACCTGCAAACATTTCTCATCGTTGCATGAATATCATTTGTAAGTTATAGTCATAAATGATGATGGCTAAAAATAGGCAGCTTACGAGTACTATAACCGCATGATTTATATGTAGTGTTGTGTGTAACTGATATGAGGGGATGTTGAAAATATCATCAGTATGGAATATTGTATGTATGTGCTCAAATTTAAGAGGACATGACAAGTGGCTTACCAAAAAAATTCTGTTGGAAACATCTAACAATCTTGTGAGCAATTTCTCTTGTCTTTACCTAAAAGTGTGCTTGCGAATGGAGAGCGTGCCTGGTGAAATTGTGGTATCTTTACCCTTGGGTTTGGATTGTTGGAAAAAAAAGTGATGTAATGGATTAAATCACAACTTTGGATGCCGGTATATTTTGAAAAGTAAAAACCTTTTATTTAATGAAAATCAACATGCGATCTAGCTTTCATTGTGGTTTAATTACAGTTATGGTGATTTGAGGTCATGTACCACATTTCAGTTTCATTCTGACTTCACAAAGGTTTAATTGGAGTTTTTTTAATTAGGTTTCAGTTATTCATTAGGCAACTCCTCTTCATCATGGTTTAATCGAGGTTCCCCAACGGTTTAATAAAGTCAACAAAAATGTTTCAAAAGCATAAGATGAGGTTTGGTGGAAACTAAAAAAACTCAAACAACAATAAAAGCCAACTTAAGTTGGTATGAAACCTCGGTGAAAACATGCAACCACAATGAACTCAATTATACGCATTTCAAAACTTTATAGATGTTCCATGCAGGTTAAAAAAGCAAAAATGAAAGAAATTGAAACCATATTAATTCACTTTTTGATGATCTTGTCAAGACACATACAATAGTCAAGTCTATTCCATAAGTAGACATTCTTCCAATTATATGACCTTTTGTGTTTGGATAAAAAATATATTAGATACTTAAATTTAATGATGGGAGAGGGAGAGGTGGACTGCATGTTGATTTTGATGTAATACAAAATTTTCAATGTGCTAGCAGCTCATCTCCAACCAGACATTCTCCCTCTATTTTTCATCCAACAGCTCACACACTACATTTGATATGTGTACATCTATGCCCATCATGGACCAAAGTTTAGATTGATTTTACAAAGTAACTGGTGATTCAGAAAGTTTGAAAAAAAATCACATGTACAAATGATTGATCATTACATGTATGAGTAATGTTTTGTGAAAATTGTCACTTTTCTCTGTGAAAAATGTTAAAATGGTACTCCCTTTGTCTCATAATATAAAAGTATTTTTTACACTGGTGCAGTGTGAAAAACGCTCTTATATTATGGGACGGAGGGAATATATACTAGTTGTTCGATCATTTTTTAACTTTCTTGTAACTTGGAACAGAGTTTCCGAAAATCCAAAATAAGGAGTGCATCTCCTCGCCCCTCCGTGGACATACCCGTAAAGAAAGGAGTATGTGACCGAGATCAGAAAATCCATATACAGCTGTCAACTGTCAGTAACCTTGTGATGGCGAGGGTGATCCTATAAGAGCATCTTTAATAGATGGTTCATATATAAAAATATTTAATTTTAGGACCGTCTGGAGCAAAAAACGTTGCTTCAATAGACGGTTTATATGCAAAAAAAATTGGACCGCGGCCTTCTCATGATGTAAAATACAACACCTCGCGGTGCAAATATACATCACGAGATGCATCTGGTCCAAAACCAGCCGCCGCCCGCGAACGCTCAACCGCCACTTCATTTCCTTTCCCGCCCGCGCCCGTCCGCCCGCCCGAAGAACAGCCAGCCGGAATCCGCCACCGCGACCGTCCAAAACCTCGCCGTCGGCGCCGCCACCATCCCACATCCCCGCCGTCGTCGCCCCCGTCGCCTGCCCGCCGCCGCCCGGACGCCGCCGAATCGGGTGGCAGCCGGCGCGGGATTCGGCCCCTCCGGCGGTCCGGCTGCCGCGGTAGGCCTCCGCCGGGTCTTATAGGCTGCCGCCGACCTCCTCCCGTCGGTCGTGAGCCTGTCCACGGCCGTTGCCCGGCCGCACGACCGCCGCACCAAGCCCTCCGCCCGGCTGCCGAACTAGTCTTCGCCGTCCGCCGAACTAGTCTTCGCCGCCCGTCGAGCTCCTCTTGGTCGGCCTCCTACCTCATTTCTTATCACCGCCGCCGTCCGCAACAGCCAATCCAACCGGCGGCCATCTTCTTCCACCACGCGCACAAGGTGTTCGACGGAATTCCCCAAGGTTTTGGACCATGAATTTGGACCACCTATTGGAGTTGCTCTTTTGGACCATGAATTTGGACCATCTTTTGGAGTTGGTCTTTTTTCGGAGCTCCAAAACGCACTTTTTGGCGGTCCAAAATTTACATCTCCGATTTTGGACCGTCAAAATTTGGACCATCTATTGGAGATGTTCTTAGGTGTGTGAAAAGCTAGTGAATACAATTATGGAGGTCATTGCAAAAAAAATTACAGAGGAAAATAAATAAATATCCATTGGTTTGCAACTCTTGTTCTTCTGATTTCAGCTACTTACAATCTTTTTTTTTTTTCAGGACCTCGTAGGACTTCAACTATGTTTTGAATTAATTGAGATGTAAGCACTTCCTCACCACAAAGCGAAGAGGAAGGATGTGACGTTCCCTGATCTTTACAATGGCCTAGGAAAGGTTCGAACGATCTAAGACTTTGCAAGCCACATACGTGTAAATAAACCATAAAAAAATAGCTCTTGACGCGTTCGGAACACGTAAGGAAGGTTGGGTTACTATACGAGTCTAGAGCCAAAGTCTTCCCCCGCGCCTTCGTTCCCACGGGCCACGGCTCCCAAAATCGATGTTCCCACAAGAATTAGCATCCAAATATCATCAGACTAAGCTGAATGAAAATATATTACTGTACTGTTACATTTCCCTTTTTTCTACACATGGCTTGGAAAATCTTTAGTTTATGGAAAATTAAATCAAAACATTATTCGGTGGAGAACTGATTTCATAAGACAAGCACCCTGACTAATGATCTTGCAGCAAATAAAAACGCACCAATGAGGATGGAGGGTAGAACAGAGCATATGATCAGCCAACCTAGAATGAATAGGCATTTCATGTCCGAAAATAAATAGGATGAATTATTTCAGAAGTCACTAGGCCTCCCAATCATACATACAACCAGGGCCGCCCGCGGGAGCCCCCCGACAACATCTCATCAAATTACCAGACCTATATATACTATCTTATTGTTCATGCGACACCAACCGACGCGCATACTAACCAACATCCATATTCACAACATTCATCCTTCTTAACATCGCACAACAAAGCCGCCATCTGTTTTTAATGGCAACTGGGTGAAAGGTAGCAACTTGCGCTAAGGTATACAACTGTCTGGCGAAGCAAGAGCTGCCTTCTCAATCAATTTTCGGAACAAGACATTCTTCACAAGATGTCATCAAACATCAGGGACAGCACCAGCCCCTGCACAAACTGGCTCCTCTTGGTTCTCTCCTCCTTCTCCTCAGGGAGCAAAGGCTCCTCAGCACTGTCCAACAAAAAAAGCCATAATCAGCACACCACCATGCAGAAATTACAATCCATGATTATCAAAATGAAACTAGTTCATAAGATATTACTGTTCATCAAAGTGAAACTAGTTCATACGATATTACTACTATTTAGCAGACATGTTTCATATAGCCTGCTTAAAGTGAAAAATGACTTCATGAACCGCCCTCAGTGACAGGTTTTTAGTGACCGACTATGGATTTCTCAAGCAATTGCATATCAAAATGACACCAAACTGTTGGTGTAGCGTCATATAAGTGAATGAAGCGTGCAAGTTGCAAATGACTTTCAATACCTTTCTTCTGCTTTCTGCTCCGAGGGATCACTTTTCTCAATAACTTTTTCCAATAACTCTTCTTGTGCATCTTTTGGTGAATCTGCATCATCATCAATGAAGCTACCGACAAAGGAGGAGAGTAGAGGATCAGGCACTGTGTTGAGCGAGGTGGCACGAGAGGATCCACCATAGCGGTATTGTATGTGCGCCGCATCCTTTTTCAATGCGGAATACATTGAAGAAGGTGATCCAGATGAAACTCGCTGGTTCCTCCACCTGCCCTGCATGTTACAAGCATGAACATAGGATTAGATAATATCCAAATAAATATGGAATATTATTAAAACAGGCATGAGAGTTATTCAAATAGGAAATACTTCATATTAGAGAAGGGACCAGATTACTCAAGTTAGTGCTGTATGAGGGTCATTGCATGTATCAAGTATCAATCAAGCACAGGAGGTTAATAATCTACAATCAATCAAGCACAAGAGAAAGCTAATCTATTATCTTCGCCGTTCGTCCTTCCAAACCTATGTTCTGCTCCCCAATCCTCTACAATGTGCCATTTGGCCATCTTCCTGGCGGTGGTTAACTAGTTTATTTCATGCATGTTGATTTTGTTGAAGAGGTTCAGAACTCGAATACTTTAATGATCTCATTTTCCTAATTGCAGATCATGATTGAACAATAACAGCAACCTATTCCATGCAGTTTCAGTTATATATAATAACTGACTGATGAATAATGATGCTTGTTGAAACTAATGATACCTTGAAGAAACTGGGATGCTCTGAGGTCATGTGCCCAACCAAGTCCATCCCAACTCTATCTGTGCATATAGGGCACACCTAAAGGAACAAAATGAAAAATAACCAGTAAGCAGACAAAACTGATCATGTCTGACTTATTTGTGGATGGGCATAGTTGTTTCCACAACAATCTAACAATAGATGTTGGAATTTACTTGAACATTTCCAAATATTTCTTATATCACAACATGCAAGCGAAGTGATAAAATACATAAATCCTATCCACACTATCAATAATCAACTACACATGGAACACAAAAGTTATCTTAGCAATCCTTAAATCCACATATTTCATAAAGAAATAATAGGAATAGAAGCTACTGCAGTTCCATTGCCTAAACACTATTTTAAAAGGCCACATGCACAAGCGAAGCATCGCTGCTACAAGCCTACAACTACTATAGCGGCACTAGTACACACTACAAGATATAAAGAAAAAATAGCAGCCACTGCACATTGCACTGCAAAATTAGTTCTACAGACCCTAATTGGTCACTTACCCAGACACGAGTAAATCCAAGAAAATCAGAACCACTAGACTTAATCCGGAAAGTGTAAAATATTGACAGCTCAGACCACAAATTCCTCTTATCCACGCTGTATAAAACATGGAAGTGCGACCAATGCAAAGTGTGCACTATTTAGTCTTGATGTTGTACACAGTTTTGCAGAAAAAAAATCTTATACTCACCACTGGCATTAAGAGCATCCAACACCTTTTGTAACTAGATTTGATTGTGATCCATTTTTATCTTGACGTAATCCATTGTAAGTCATTACTTTATGCTACATTTCAGTTGAGTGCATCCAGCATATTGTATGGTTGGATTTTAAGTTGACATGTGATGATGATGCAATATCATGTAACTATGATTCCGCACTTAGGATGGCTCTGTTGTTTCATTTGTAAGATTGCTATGAAGTTTATGGCATTTGCAAACAATAGAACCGTGATTTTCAAATTATACTATGAACTGCAATAGCCATCACTACAACTTTTGGGCCACACACAGGAAACATTACATTGAGAGGAACCCTACGTCCTCAAAGATCTATCCAGTATAAACATATGCACCTGGAGCACTCAATAACATAATGCACAATATTTACAAAAAGCAGTTCAATCAAACTCCCAAAGTTAAACTGAACAATTAACTCCCGATTTCAACCAATCAGAGCATAGAATTCATCTCACCAAGACACCAACTACAAGTGTGAATAAAAACTACAAATTCAGAGTATATTATATGATTGTATCAACTAAGCCACATGAATGCCATGCCATCACATCGACTTTATGTATCTACTGAAAAATAATGTATGGACTAAATTAATTGGATGGATCTAATCTTCACACGTGAAACACATCTCAATAAATAATATTTCCGTTATGACGGATGCACGCCATTACTCCTGCAGTTTCCACATTAGTGGATCTTTCAACCAATTCTTAATACACTTACAAATTTCTCTAAACATAGAAAAGATATAAATAGTTGGATCTTCTAATGCATTCTTATCAAGTAAGAATGAATTAATGATGCCACTATGAAACAAATGGAGACATCAAATGAAAGCACCCAAACTTCCTTGCAGAAGTAGAAAAATGAAGCCCAAAAAAGTAAGCCAGGCCTTCAACTAGCTTATAACTTAACACGCAAGCAACTTAAACATCCAAAAATACTATACTTGCAAGCAAACCTTGAGAGTGAAAATTAAAAGCAGCTCAAACATGCGCCGTATGCCAGAAGAAGCACTCTAAATTCCTAGCTCAAACATCTAAAGGAAGATTAAGCACATTTCTACACTATCAGATACAATTATGAGGAGAAGAACCCTATGCAGCAGGAAAATACCAACTCTGTACACAGCAATATCTTAGCTCAAAAACTAAAAGCATCTCAAACATGCATAGTATGTGAGTATGCGCAACTCATACGGCCCAAATTCCCACCTTTGCAATTAAAAATATGAAAATGACAAGTAAAATCACCACACACATACAGGCATTTCCCGGAGACTATATAGAAACAAAAACAATGCCTACATGTTACACAAGAGATTAACGACAAACCCTAATTTTTGAGCTAGATGCGCCTGAGAGCCACTAAGTGTTAGTACATCTTTCTATGAAGGTTGAGATGAAATTACCCCGGCCTTGGTCTCCGCCGCGTGCTCGTCCTCGATGTGCAAGCACAGGCCGACGCCGTCGAACTCCTCCCCGCAGAAGGGGCACTCCAGCTCCTCCTCCTCGGCGCCCCTCTCCTCCTCGTCGTCGGTCTCCTCCGCCTCCTCGAGCCGCATGAGCGCATCTGCCAAAGCACAAAACCTCATCAAAAACCTCCTCAGGAAACCCTCAAAATCACACGATTTGGAGCCAAGATCGGATCTTTGGGGTGGCGAAGCACGAACCGCGGAGCCTGGTCTCGGCCTGGAGGCGTTCGAAGGTGTCCATGTCCATGGCGGCGCCGGCTGGAGAGAGGGGCCCTTCGGCTTCCTGGCCTGGCCGGGGTCAAACCGGGCGGCGCCGGGCGCCGGGAGGGGGGCGGCGATCAGCGGGGTTTAGAGC